ACATAGAACATATAAAATTTTTAGACGATGATCATTACTATTCCAGTTTAAAAGGAAAAGTGGCGGATCACGAGTAAGGGGATACCCAATAAAGAAGACGTTCCACAGTCAATCATAGGCTTAAATAGAAAAGATATTCGGCAATCGGAATTAAAAAAATTGGAGAGGGTTAATATGACGCGACGCGATCCCAAACTTGGCTGTTTGGTTCATAATAGTTGTTGTTACATAACCTACCTAACTATTATAAATCTACAAAAAGGTTTTGCATATGATAGGTCTATTTTTCAATCCTAAATATACATGAGAAATAATTTTTTTTCTAGAAGGTGATATTTTTTTTGAGATTGTTAGGTAAATCTGTCTATAATGCTGCTTGGTTAGCGGAGCAACAAAAATCTTTTAATGTCTCTAGCTCTTCTTTTGCCGTCATAAAAGAAATTTAAAGCAGAGATATCTCTTGTAGCCTCTATGTTACTAAGTATAGCTGTTAAGTGAACCATTTTTTTAAAGTCAACCAAGTTTGGTTAAATATGTATAACTGTCTATCTACGAAAACCGCTAGCTAGTTCTTAAGTAATATTCTTGGATAACGTTTAAGGACGATACGCAATCAATAGACTCTCGAACCAATATGTCTATGATAGTAATACATTTATTATATTATTTCTTAGTTTTTTTTTAGATTAATTTTCATGCCACCATATAATATTATATAATAAGGTAGCTGCGCAGCACGTGGTGCCGCGCAAGACCAGTACAATCGGCATGTGAGTACTCAGGTATATACAGGATTGAGTTATAGTGACTAGGAGTAACCTGATTTTTTTAAATACACTGCCTGCAACCCATTTAGCGAAGGTCCATGCACTACTACGATAGCCATGATGCCTAAAACAAAGTCTTTGCAGCCGCGAAGCCTAACTACCAAGGTTCTCGTACTACTTCGCAGCCGCATTGTTACAAAATCCAGGTGTTACACTACTACCGCAGTCGTGGAGCCTAATTACTAAGGTCCTTGCCTGCTACTGCATCCTCAGAGCCTAATCACTACAAAAACAAAAAATCCTTGTACTATTATGGCAGCCGCGGAGCTTCATAATTACAAAAATAAAAAAACTAAACCAAAATCAGATCCTTACACTGCTACTGCTTGACATTATACCTTGTCACACAAGTCAACCATCAAGTATTTAAACTTATTGTGGGTCATGCAAGGCAAGCAATAGGAAAAAGTAAGATAAGCTTTTTTTACTAAAAACACCACCCTTAAATACACATTGCATTACATTTTCTCACTGATCTGATTCACGCTTGAAGCCATATGAAAATACACCTTTACTTTAGCACTAATTTGTTAACATTCATATCTGCTCGCCACTTAACAATCATAAACTTAACCAAGAAAAGCCTGACCTAACGAGAACAACACAGCAAATATTACAGGCCAATCTAAGCATGTGATCCGTAAAGTCATCTGATCTCGCAATTCGATAACAAAATTATATTTTTTTGTCAAGAACAATTTCATCAACGATAATGATAGTAATTGAAAGTTATTAAACATTGATTATCTAATACAATATTTATGCTCCAGAATAAAGATACGGTTATAACCATTTAGTTAAGGTTATTAACCGTAACCGATACTAACGGCTTGACTGACCGACATAACCGATGACGATCAGCGTTTTAAATTTAATTTTCACACACTCAAATTTTTCCCACACCAGCATGATGGCATGTGAATATGCGTAGAACACATTTCATGTTACACATTCATGCGATCGAAAATGGAATCGCCTTTTCTGCAATAAAAGTCCAGCGATGTAAATTGTAATCGCGAATATTCCAATCCATGTTGAATATAGAAACATTTTAATAGCACCAAAATGTCCATACAATAATCCCCCGACAATCTGTCCAAGACCTTTTATACGTACGTGCAGTAGTCATAAAAATTAAAAGGAAATTTTGAATATTGATTCATTTTTTTTCAAAAATTACACATTGTTTTTAAACACAAACCTGTAGACAAACTTTCTATTGCTGCAAGTATACCAAGTGCTGTTGCTCTCAATCTCGATGGTGATACTTGTGATATAATTTCTAAAGATGCTGGCTTTACTAATCCAAATTCAAGTCCTTGGAGCTAATAAGTAAATTATTATAAACATTAATAAGTAACATTATTATAAACATTAATAAGTTATTATTATTATTATTATTATTATTATTACCATCTCGATTGGGAGAGATAACCAAGGATTCATATTTGTACCAAAAAACGCATATAATGCAGCTCTAAGAGTAGACATAATTCCTCCTGCTATAATAATAACTTCCGGAAACGTAGATTCTAAAATATATTTCCCAAAATAAAAAACTATTATTTCAAGAGTTATTCCTACAAAGGTGCTTAATCCTAGCAACTTTGCATCAGCTTTAAGATCCTCTAAAAATTTGTAAATAATTATTAAGTAACGAAACGAATTAAGTATTAAAAAAAAAAAAAAAAGAAGTGATATTTTCTTTAAATATAAAACCTGATAAGAATACATAAAGAAATGTTGACATTGAAGTTTTAATCATGTGCATCAAAAGTATCACGAAAAGAAATAATAGTAATCGTGGTTTTGTGAAAAGATTAAGGATCTCTTTCATGAAAGGTGATGGAGTTGTTACCATAACATTTGTTTCTACACTTTGTGTTGATGTTTCATTCGATGTATGTCCCAATTGAACGAGATCTATATCTTCTGTAATTGGTTCCTCATGATGATCTACTTTAAAATCTCTCGCAGGTGTTAAAAATAGAACTAATAAAAACAGTCCCATGAAAATTCCAAATGCGAAAAACATGACATAAAGTGTTTTAAGTCTATCTATTATAAATCCAATCATAACTATGGAAATTCCAAAACTTATGGTCCCGAAAAGACGCTAAATAACAAAACAATATAATGAATATTGTAATTATAGTTAAATGTAAGTAAAGCTGATTACCTGGCGTCCAAATTCAGTTGAATTTCCTTTACGATTTAACACATCTGTAATTCATTAAAATGTTTTTTTTAGATCTATAGGCAGGACTTTAATACAAATATAATACAAATATAATACAAATATATAAAATGGAAATACATACTTATTGTCAGATTATCAATCAACGACCCAATTCCTCCATTAAAAATCGAATAAATAGTAAGGCTGATAAAAAGGCCACTATAACCAAAATATTTTCCCGTAAGTGGTAAAGATAAAAACGCAAGTATAGTACATAAAGTACATGAAATCATAATCTTGCGATGTATATCATATCTATCTGCCAAAATCTTTAATCAAATAATTTTCAAATTAATTAATTTTCTTTGGTCAATTTATATTAAATAAATTCATCAAAATAGATTAAAATCTTACATTCCAACAAGGTGAGCTAATGAGTCCTACAAATGGTATAACCGACATTAATATACCAATGAGTGATTTTGGTAATAGAAAAACGGTTGATAAGAATAAACTAAGAAAATTAAATGAACAATATGCTGCAAGCAGGAAAAAATAAAATAATTTTAATCTAATATAACGAAATGTTAAAAAAGATCGTAAATATCGTTGCATATTAGTGGATCGGTGGAATTTTACCAGGCCTACCGAAAAATCAATTAAAATTAGTTTTTTTTATACGTCATACAATTAAAATTATATAATAGGATGAAACCTGAGTTGTGAAATAGTGAAATCCGCTTTGTCGATCAGGTTATGTTTTTCATTATATAAAAGTGGATTTCACTATTTCGCAACTCAGGTTTCATCCTAATTGAAACCCAATTAATGACGAAATAATTGCCATTTGCCACATGATTGTGATGAATCATTATATGTGATAAATAAGGATTTACTAATTAATCGTATTAGTAAACTCTTATTTGTCATGCCAAAAAATGTAATTGACTCATTGTAACCGGTAGCCTGGATTTTACCTATTATTTAGTCACAATTTTATAACGCACCGACCGGGGTAAAATCGCACCCAAAAAAGTTTCGTGACGAATATTGAGCACTAAAAATTCATGTAACTTATAAATTAAATCATTTTATTTATTTCGAATACCCCTTTTAAAATGATTATAATCCTCCAATTTATGCAATGGCACAAAGTTTTTATTAATACTATCGAGCCATTTGTTGTTTTCTTCAATACTTTTTTGTTGCTGCGTTTCGGATACAAATAAATAATCAAAGTTACAATCTTCCGAAAGAGCATTTAAAATAAAATCTACAAGATTTTATGGTTCAATTACATTTTTTTGATTAGTTTTATATTTATATTTCGATTTTCATTCATTTTTTTTTTTCGTTTATTGTTAATGGAAATTGGGCTACGGCAATCAACATATATTTTTAGAATATAATAGTATATTTATTGGATTTTATGCTTTTAAAGAATCGAAAAAAAAAGAAGACTTACTAAATCAATTATGTAATATTTTAATAAATATTATCATCGGATCTAATCATGATGAATCGAAACTTTTTGGGTTGGCGATTTTACCCCGTCCAGGTTGGCTGTCCCTGATCCTGATGCGTTTAGCACTCATATATTTATTGTATGGGTCTGACGTAACAACCAGTGCGTCACTCTTTACTACGTGTACGTACTGTACGTATATAATCATTTAAACTTTCTTGTACAACTACTTTGTTTACTTGTTCATAAAATTTCTTTTTACTAATCGCAACTTTACGATCGCGACCTAAAAAAGAAAAAATACTTTGAAATGACTATATTATTAGATCGATTTCGAGAAGAGTTTCTAGAACATTGGGCCAATTCAATGAATTTATTTTAAATAAATATATATTTTTGAAATGAACTAAATAACATTACAAAGAGAAATAAGAAATTTAAAAATTACCTGAATGAATATAGATTTCACACAACTATGGAAATTCACAAATCACCCACCCAAATATAGCATTCGCTCAATTATTAGAATTTTAAAAGTAGCCCGACCGAATGTAGTCTTTATCCACCTATAAGAATTTTAAAAATATCCCGACCGAATGTAGTCTTTTACCAAGTTTACCATGAAGTTTCTCATTGGCTGTTCCATTTAGTTTCACCTGTTTCACCTGCAACTCTAGTCTTTACCCACTTATCGTATAAGAATTTTAAAAACAATCCGTCCGAATATATAGCCTTCTAGCAGTTATAAAATTTTAAAAACCACACGAATGAATGTAGTTTTCGTTTAGCTATGAGAATTTAAAAATCACCCGGACTAATTATAACTATGAGTTTTAAAACCCAACTGGGTTAATTATAGCTATAGGTTTTAAAAACTACCCGATGCATAGTTTTCATTTAAATATGAAAATTTCAAAAATCGATCAACAAATATTTTCATATAGCGAATCCTGTTTTTATGAATTCGCACAGGTATATATGAAAATCATGTGATTCATATATACCTGTGCAAATAAAAACTTTTTCTTCTTTTATTTTTAGAAAATACTTTGACTACTATAAATTTGCTAGTATCATTGAAATACGGTAATTATAAACTTACATTTTCTCATTGCATTTGTTGATTTGTCATATCTGAATGGATGGGCGAGCAGCCTAAGAATATAAAGCGGGCAATATCAAAACCAGAAAGTTGAGGCTGCTTCAACTTAAATCAGATGCTTATAAATTCCTCGATTACACCATTTTCATGATTTATTTTACAGCGCACTTTTTTTTATTCACGACACTTTCCACTGATCTCTTACGACATTTTTTATGCAAATAACTAATTACATCACATATCATAGGCAGAAGTTCGTCTGGTTGGCTAATTAATTTTACATTATTTATACAGTTTAAAGTACTTTTTAAAAAAAAACCGAAAACCAATCATAACAAAAGAAAAGAAAACTATATAGAAGGTTTCATTAGAGCTGTAGGACTTTATATTCAAAAATAAAATCTAATTATAGTAATACTGTAATAAGTTTATTTTATCAAGTTTTGAGAAGTTATTACTATACTACCTTTTTTTAAACGAACGATAATTAGATCTTATCGTGCAAACTCTTATGATCATAGATTTTTTTCTTCTTGTTATTTTTTGTACGTTATCACGTAAGCACAACAATTCCAAATTAAAACTCAGTTAGCCAACCACGACTCGTAAATAATGATCATA